TAAGGGGGGGGCCATATGTCGAAATAAATGACAAGAAGGGGGGCTATTAAATTTTTTCAAGAAAATGACGGGGGGGGGGTTGCAATTAAATTTGAAGAAATTTGCTTAATAACCTGGTATCCATTTGGTTGTAAATGTTGCAACTAAATCATGGTCACTGATGTGAAATTGCGCTTCGATATCTTTTCCCCACCCACCCACCCACCCATGTTCATTCTAAAGGATTTTATCTGGTAGCTAGTATATGTCATTTTATTTTATATAATTTTTAATCTCACATAAAATAGGATGCATAGACCACTATACATTGTATTTCGCAGGTATGCCTTGGCAGAATTGTCATTGCTAAACTATCTCTTTTTGCTGCTAATATTACTGATTGTTGCTCTCATTGTTGCTGCGCAGCTGCTATGGCAATACTTCGTACCATCAAGTCTAGTTGCAGCCTTAAACATGGTTACAATCGCCCAGACCAAATGGAAACCTGATTTTAGTGTTACATATAAAAATACTCCTCTTTTAATTATAATTTTCTGCTAATATATTTTTGGTCGACGTTAATATCTTGCCAGTTCCATATTCTTATTTAATAATTAACACTATAACGCCTGGGTATCCCCATTTGACGAGTAAAAGAGAAATGGGGGGGGTCAAAGAAAAATATTCAAATATGCAGGGGGGGGTCATCATTAAATTTCTGCTCTTTTAGGGGGGGGCTTTCAATTTTAAAAATTTAGAAAAGAAAAAATTCCCCTCCCCCCCCCCTTCCATAAATAATGACCGGTCCCTTAGTTCGAGCGAGCTGACTACTATATCCTTGCAGGTCTTGGAAAACAGCTCGGCAATAAACTGATAAATAAGGCTTCAGCTTTTTGGAAATAATTATTTGAAAATTTCCGACATCCACATAGTTTTCGTTCTAGGCGACTATTACGGCGAGATATTTAGACACGCTTTCTACAATGACTATGTAATTTTAGTTTTATACGGAGTAAAATGTTGCTGCAAAAGCGTTCTCAACGTCTTTTCACACCTATTTTGTCATTTTTAGGCTTAATTTAATAACTGAAAATAAATTTCAGAAATAAAGCACTTTTAACAGTATATTGACAAAATTACAAATTCTATTTTTGGTGTTTACATACGGCGGTCATATATTTCCGGTTTGATCACATGATGCGTTTTATCGTCTCTTGGCCAATCAGCATAACATCCAGATTCTGGATGTTGAACATGACTTTAGAGCCGATTCGTGTCAGGCCCTCTTTCAATACCGAGGGCCTGATACTCAGGTTATGGTTATCCCACCTCCTCGCCCCCAACTTTAGATATTTATCGTTCAATAGTTTACATGTAATATCATTTGCAATATCAGATATATTAACTGATTCTATCTTTAAGTGAATTAATTTTATCCGCGCACAAATTGCATTCGGCTATCGCCAATCCGACCACCGTCAGCAGAATAAGAAGGTTAGGGAACTCGATATACAGACATATTTTACACTTTGTGAGGGATCATCTAATGTATCAAAGCGGCTCCTCATTTACCCAAGGATAATGACGTCATTTCTCAACAAGTTCCAGATGAAGATGCATTTGTGGCAGGGGTGGATTTATAAGGGGGGTGCACAGGAGTGCCCACCCCTGTTGGCCTTGGTCAACAGGGGTGCAAAAAAATCAAATTCTGAAATATGACTTAATTAATTTCCAAACTGAATCTCATAATTCGATGCCTATATCGCAGGAAATAGCATTTCTAGGGTTCTAATTTTCAAAATTTTCCAGGGGGCATATCCCTGAACCTCCTAGCTAGGGAGCTTGCGTCTTCGATGCTCAAGTCGTTGGCAGGTCGATTCATTTGAATGCTCCCCCACCACTTCCTAAAGAATTATAACGAAACACTCGGCCGCTCACCCAACCTCGCAAGCCAGGGCCTTCTACTTACGCTGGGCTCCCCCCTAGAAAAACCTTGCTGGATCCACCCCTGATTTATGGAAGTTATCGTCATCTCATGCGTTGAACTATCTTTCGTAAAATGTTTACAGTTGTCGGTGTGTCCATTTATGTGCTCACCATTTTAATGAATTAGTACAATATATATATACATATCATATAATCGCACAACACATATGCGGAATAACTTTCTAATTCTGCTCTCTGCCTTTACATATGAACGCTATGCAAGATTTCCTATACTGAGGAATCCTTAAGCAATAAAGAAAAGGATCCAAGAATAGATTGACATAAAGAATAATCCATAAAAAGGCGCCTGTGCTATCATTATCTCTACGCATATTATAGTTCGCATTTTGAGATGTTTTCAAATAATGATGAAAAATAAACGGTGCGCAAGTCATTAGATAAGTCAAAATCAGGACAGCAGAAGTTAAAAGAAAGTTTCGCTGCTGTGCTATTCTTTTCTTCCCAGATTTGTATGAACAACCATCCTGAACCGCCTTCATTGCTTTCGACTGTTGTCCCAAGGAAAAGAAAGCTCGAGCGTAGATCGTTGGTAAGGCAATAAATAGCAAAACACTGCATGCTGTAATCGTTTGGAAAAGCTCGTTATTGTATCCAGGTAGATGATATGCACAAACGAGGATGGTGGTACAACCTAGCCAGGTTGAAATAATAATTACTGATATCCGTTTCTTCGTGACAAGGATTTTCAACTTGATAGGATGTGTTATAGCCAGTAAATGTTCAACAGATATAAGAAAAATAGTGACAAACGATATCATTAAGGCGTCGTAACTACCAATGATCAAAACAATTGCTATTGGCCTACTTTGAAGACGTCCTTCCAGCCAAATTTCATAAACAGTGCGTGTAATGTTGACCACTGCAGCAAAAAGATCGGAGATCATCAAACTGGTTATAAGCATGGCAGAACGGGTTCTCAAACATTTCTTAGGATCTTTCCAAATGACCGCCGGTACAAAACTGTTTACTAGGACTGCAGTAACGCAAACAGAGATATGAAGTGATGTTGGGAGATCAATTACTCTGTGCATCTCAGTGACATTCGACATTTTCAGTTTGGCCAATAATAATGCGCTGTTGAGTTTTAAAACGAAAATTTTTAATTAAACCCATATTATTATGCCGCCAAAATGTCATTTAGGTTTTCATAGCTATATGTATACTAAGCCTAAGGTTATTAAATGAGTTAGAATTATTAATCACTGATGCTATATAAAACGGAAATTAAGCCGAAAACATTTAAACATCCACTGCATGAGCGTGTGCAATTCCGGTCATTTTCAGAGAAATGAACACTTTTCATTTTGAGAGAAATGAACACTCCTCATTACAACATATAGAACATAAATAATTTCTCCGATTAACATAGTCATAGTTAACAATATATTATTAAATTCACTATTTTATTAAATTTTGACCATGCAGAGGAAAAAACTATGCATATTATAGAAGTATCATGTTTTTTTTTGTGCAAGAGTTATATTTTGAGGAATTTATATCATTCGCTGCTTTGTTTTTTATGCATGAGCATCTGAAATTCCCAGCCAGTGCTTTTCAAGATTTTAATAAGGAGTAAATAGGGAAAAAACAAACTTTTGCAAAATAAAATGTTATTTTAACACTTTTAACAAAAGGAAATCAATAAACGTGATCGCTTACCGTTATTCTACAATAATTTATTGAACAAAACTTCCATGGGTATCTCATTTTTTAAAAAAAAAGCGATTTTCACCTTTCGAACGGCGTTTTCCCTATCTTTTGCTATGAAATTTCAGCGACGGCACTGGCTGGAAGATTTTGCGTGGCGCGTGGAACACGTGACACAAAAATTCAGGTTATCGAGGTGTCTGTTTCCTCTCGGCTGTATATCTCTTATCTGTACGACTGTGCCTAAGGACTATGCTGAATTTATGATAACATTGCCAGTAATATATACAGCTTATATGTTTTAAGACATACTGTATATAGAGATATACTGTACATTGAATCGAGAAAAGTTTGACCCTGAGTCAGGCGGCTGAGCTTTCGCCGACTCGGTAAATTCTCAGTCAAGTCTTCTTCAGAATTATAGGAATTAACAGGAACAGGAAGAACAGGAATTAACAGGACATTATGTACTATTTAAAACACGATCAGGAGTGCTTAATATAAGAAATATAAAACATGAGAGCGCAGCTCGAGTTTAAATGGCTCAAAAAACGACCCATCTGATCTGAAGAGTTCATTGGCGAAGTAATTTTAAAAATCAACGTTGTCTAACCGTTGTTCATATAAATGGACATGATTTTAAGATTTTTATCACATATAAAACCACCGACACGGCAGTGATTCCCTCTGTCTATTCCTCATGAATTATTGTTTTTTTAAATTATATACATAATTATTAATTTTATACAGGTCATATATAATTTATCTGATGATTGCCATGGCATCTTGCGTTGATGAGTCAGTCATACACATATGTTTTAGGAACAAACTTTTCTATATCCAGTATATATACAAGTCGATTCTATTACTATATTATGAAATAATCAATTTGTTTGACTGTTTGAACCTTTGTGCAGCGTTTCATGCTGAGACATTTTAATTACGGAAATATTCATTAAATTTTACTGAATACTTGAACATAGTTATTAACTCTATACTATCGCTTCCTTGCTATAAAACACTGACGCTGAGTCCATAAAGAAGTTAGTCAATCCTGTCTACAAAATGACTGAAAAGAAAATTAAAAGGTTAAAAGGCAACATATTTTGTGCTGAATCTTTTCTCCCGATTTCTTAGTGTCAGTCTGTATAAAGATGCTGTTTTATTATTTCATAAAATGATTAATTTCTGGGCTCATTTGTCATTTTTATTTACAGCATGTCAGTAAGTAATAACATGCATGGCCTTAGTATAATCTTCGTAGTGGCATAGTTATTAAAAATTGACACATAAATTGTAATAATAACAAGACGCCTGCTGAGGCGTACGTTCACACTGGCCTCAACATGACAATTTGCGTGCCATGCAGGGTGTACTGTGTAATAGAGAAAAAGAAAGGGATGCAGGATAACCAGTGATCGTATCACAAACATAATAATCAAGTATCAACCATAGCGAGGAATATAATTGTTGATTTTAATGCCTTCCAGGTTCGTCCAGTTATGTAGAACTGAAACGATAGCTATACCGGGGCTCTTATAGGTGAGTAGGGTGACAAGGCGTGGAGGGTGCAACACGATAGGCCTACATGGAATGTTCCAGTACTTATTTTTGGTTCTAATAAGCTTTCAATTGATTTTTTTTAAGAAAAGACTAATTTGAAACAATAGATTCTCATATACCGAAACTATTTCAGGTTGGGGTTATAAAAAACGGTCTGATGGAATCTTTAACAAGGGGACTGGTGAGCACCATGGTACGTTAGTTCTTGATTTATATATCGAGAGAGAATATTACACGGCGGCTCGAAGATATGACTTTTATCTTCGAGTGTGGTGAAAACAATATTTTATGAAAGTCATATCTTCGCGCTGCCGTGTAATGTTCTGTTTAGTATATAGTCCCAAGCGAAAAAAATGTGAAATTTCACGCTCGAAGCAAATTGCAAAAAGTCACGTGATCGATATCTTCACCAGTGAAGATATGGAAAATATCTCACTGTGTATTTTTCAGTATCTCGCTCTCTACTATATAATATACTTTAAAATAGTGATTCATTGATTCTTTATTTCTACTGCTGAAGTTTAAAGACGTCTTCTAAAGCACGGCCAAATTGTCTGCATAGCATAATTGAATACAAAGAAGTTGACAACAGACATTTAGAAACTGGACTGCATAGGTCACTGGAGCAATCTACCCTTAGCCAGTGAACTCTATAAATACTAGAACGATAGCTCAGATAAAAGGCCCAATGATGGGTGAAGCCTGAAATGGCGGCCAATAGAGTGATCTCTTGTATATTTTGTTGGCATCTCACTCGATTGAATAACAATTTAAGGGTTTTGCAGATGGAAACTATCACGTGCAAATTTTATGTACTATCACGTGTAGGAGTGTTTTATCATATTTAAAATGTGAGTGCGCAGCACGAGCTTTTTAGATATTATAAAACACGACTATACAAGTGTTTTGAATAGCTTCAAACATGACTACAATACAATGCCGTCTCCTTAGTATTCTTTATATAAAGAATACTAATTAGGATGGACTTTTATACAAATAATACTAATGAAGATGAGTTTTATCAGGTATAAAGCGTCTTCACGTGACATATTATGGTTGACATGATTTGTCATTGAGCTTATGAATTATTAATGAGTGTTTGAAATACGTTTATTAGACCACAGTTAATAAAATGCATGGTTTGGTGACTCGGCGAAAACACAATACAGCTCGATCATTATCTACGTTTGTGTAGGTTTATGCAAAAATATGGGTCATATCTCGTCACGTGTGTATTGTATTTTTTTCGGAATCAACCAATAGTAATGTGTAAATTGACCAATTGTTTCAGTCACGGATGAACAGCGGAGTTCGAACATTCAGCTATTGGTTGTTTACGATAAATTACAATACACACGTGACACACAAGTCTCTAGAGGAACAACCCCCCCCCCCCAGTCCTATTCGGAATGTCTCGGTACGTAAATGTACGCATCGTACTTACTTTTGAGGTTGAAAACTTTTTTCATTATTTGATAACATACATTTTGTTGGAGACGCTTTCGAACGTCGAAATTCTCCTTATATTTTTCAGGTATTTGCATCCCGACCGTCAACGAAAGCTTCTTCATATTATTGTCATTACCTACACTGGCGAAGACTGTTCAAGATTTTGTTAGAGCTGTTTTGCAGGAGTTCTCGTCAACATATTCACGTCGAATGTTCAGTTCATTAAGTACCACAACGCCGTGAAGAAGTGAAAATATTCATTGCTCTGTATTATCTAGAGACAATCTATATGCTGGCTAAAGCAACAAACAGAAACTATTACTTTCTTCTAATATGCCGCCAGTAACACCAAAGCAATTTTTGCTCTTTCCATCATGGCCACGATTGGCTTAATATACGCATTAAGGTGTACACACACCGAACGTCCAGTCGGCAAACGAACGCGTCGCGATATTTTACATAGTTTTCAGAAACCAAAACATTTGCTCCTGGTAAAATCTTTCTGGAAATGTTATGGCTATAGAGCATCTTGACTTATCAGGTTCACATATCTTCAAAGTTTCCTTTCATGGACAATATAATCAGGGGCGCCGAGAGGGGGCAGGGGGATTTCCCCTGGTCCCCACGTTAATAGGGCCCCTTACAGTAGCTCCACATGCAGTCTAGCTAAAGTCCAGTTGGGTGACTGACTTGGGTCTAACTTAAAAATGATCCCCCGCCCCCCGCCCCCCAGAGAAGATTTGCCCTGGGCCCCGCGAATTCTCTCGGCGACCCTGTCGTATAATTTGTTTTTAGAAACTGGAAAATCGCGTCACGTTGCCAAATCGCGTCCGGGTGTGATGTTAGTATAGAGCTTTGAAAGATGAACGAATAACACCGTCTTTATTGCCACTTTGATTATCATAAAAGAGAACATAAGCATTAATACTTATATTGTCGTTGGTTTAATTTAACTACAATTGATTTACTATAAAACTTGTCATTATTGGTTTTGCCATGCATAGTTGGTTTTACTATAGTAAATGGAGAAATCTTGGAAGTGGTCGACAGTGCTAAAATCCTTGGTCTGAGCGTTTCTAACAATTTGAAATGGAACAATCACATTGACCAAATTATATCGAAGGCGCGAAAGCGTCTCTATTTTCTCTCCCAACTTAAGAGAGCGAGAGTTGGCAAGAAAGAACTTGTCCTATTCTTTACAACGTGCATAAGACCAATCCTAGAATACGCAAGTCCTGTATTCCTTAATGGTTTGACAAATTACCTCCAGGATTTGGAGCAGATCCAAAAGAGAGCATTGCGAATTATCTTACCTTGCGTCTCATATGAAAACGCTTTACAATCAACTGGCCTCCAACGGCTCAGCCATCGAAGAGACGGTCTTTCAGACAAATTATTTGAAGAAATAGTGACTGATGATAGCCATAAGTTTTATAATCTTCTTCCACCACGTAAAGAAACTGTTAATATGACTCTTAGATCCAGTCATAGATTTAACGTTGCATTTCAAACTAACCGTTTTAAAAATAGTTCTATTATACATAATGCATTAAATTATTCATCATGAAATTATTAGAACATTCTTAGATCCTTTCAGAGACATTTAGTTGTATAGTATTTTAATATTTTCTTAACTTGTAAATATAAGCGTAATTCAGCCTATTGGCTGCAATGTTTATATGAAAAAACACCATCTATCTGTCTATGTAGTTAACTTGCAACAACAATAGTTCGGACCACAATAAGTGATGCTGCATGATTCGTACTTGAATATCGACATTCCAACTTTCTGTGTGTCGGTGTCGGCTTTTTTATTATCTGCCAGTGAAGGATGACTTTTCCTTATATGAAAGGATTTCCACACAAGTGGTTGTACTTCTGAAAAAAACAACATTAAAACTTTTTATTCATTTGTTGGTTTATTTCCATTTTGAAACCTTTTAAACGGCTCGGAGTCATTATACTATCACTCTACATGACGTTTCACGAAGTACAGATGGTTAAGATGTTACAGATGGTTAAGATGTTACAGAAGGTTAAGGTTACAGATGGTTACATTAGAGATTTTTAAGTCAAAAATTAGAAAAATTAATATAGATTTTCTTATGACTGAAAAGTGTCGGAATTGTGCACTATGCAGCAATTAGTAATTGGAAAGTATTGCATGTCCTAATATTTATATGTAGGTAATTTAAATCTTATTAGAATAACTATTTAATTTTATTAGAATAAATATAATCTTATTAGAATAAATATTTAACATATATAATAGTAGTATATCTGTAAATAGCTAAATAGTGTCCCCAATTAGTAGATTTATGTCGGCTATATGTATTCTTGACACTGAAATAAAGTTTATGTATGTATAGTAGTATATCTGTAAATAGCTAAATAGTGTCCCCAATTAGTAGATTTATGTCGGCTATATGTATTCTTGACACTGAAATAAAGTTTATGTATGTATGTATATATCTGTATGTCGCCGACAAGTAAGGAACGCGGGCGCGAAAAATCGAAGGAGCTCTCCTTCTTCCGCCGCACTTCGACTTTTCTTATTGTTTCAATCATGACTCATAGTCGGGCCCGCTGTGGCAATTGTTAAATAATCACGCAGACTTAATAAATATTATATTAAATAATTACGCATACTTAATAATCTGACTTGATAGTTCTCGATATCGTGTTGAGGCTCATCGAATAGTTAACTGTTCATTATTTCGATATGAAAAGGTGAAGCGACGAGCCGATGAATTTAAAAAAAAAAAATAAAATAAAACACAATCCCGAGTTTATCATCTTGCCAAACTAAAGTTATTGATCAGTTTCAAACTGCTATTCTCGTGTATTTAATTGTCTGGTTTCTCAAAGCTTTTTATGCCGATCACTTGATCAATGATCATTCATCTATGTTGAATGTCTGTCTAAAAGCTATTAGGTACCAGGAAACGGGGGGCCGAGCCAAGGGATGAACAATACAACGTGCTAATAGGCCGTGGGATGAGCATCCAAAAGATGCTTAGAAAACGGATTCCGTTGCACCCCTCGTGGAACTACGTAATTTTCACATGAATAAATAGATAAAAACTTACTTTATCAGAATCCGTTGCTCCCCAAGCGAAACAGGTGCACAATTGGGAGAAAAATCCCTCCAAAGTTTGATATTTTCGCGCTTCGAAATATTCGAACCGCCATTGTTTTGATAGCAAATACGCATGCGCAACTCACCCAAACTCGCACTGCGCACGCGCACAACCAACGCACATGCCAACCTCGTACCCAGGGCTAGTCGCGAATTGAAGGCGGCGACACCTTCAATTCGCGACTAGCCCTGGGTACGAGGTTGCGCACATGCTTCGAAGTGGAAACACGCTCAGTTATGCAAATAAACATGGCTGAAGATATTTATAAAACTCGAATATCCTCATGTTTTATGCATTTTGAGCGTTACGGAGCAACTTTGCAAAGTTACACGCCAAAGGCTTAAGTTAAGAAATTTCTTGAGTGTAGGTCAAAATGGGCCAAACTTAAATGTCAACAAGCTGAAATAGCTAAGAAATCGTACGAGAACATCGATGACGGATCTGTCAATTCATACATCGAGAAGAACTCTGACACCATTAACTTAGAATGGAACCATCATATGAAATGCTGGAAGAGATTTTGTGATGAACCGAAGATCCGTAGATAACAGAGAAAAGAAGAAAAAGGAGAAGGAACTGGCTCTAAAACTATAACTTCTACCGAAGAATCACACGTGGAAGTGGAGGCAATAGAACCAAGGCGAAAAATTAATACACGTCAATCAGTCGCAGAAGCTATAAATATAAAGGCCCTGCCTAAAAGAAACGCGCATGTACTCCCAGAGATATGTAATATTTGTGGAAGAGACGCCTCATGGTTCTCACTAGACAAGGTATGGTTGATAGGTATAATACTAGCGCAATGTGCATAACATTCTCAGGTTTGGTTTTAAAATATATTGAATTGTGATCAATTTATATAGGGTAAAGTAGTTTCTATGCTACAAACATCCAACCTTGTTATTAGCAGATATCTAGTTTAATAATTTATTTTGTTTCACACCAAGTAACTAAGAAGAGAAGAAGAACCCCACTCATGTTGGCAGAAACAATTGATGCTGGTCTTCTATGTACAGCTGCTGAGAGAAAGAACGATCAACAGATACTCATGCAAATCCAGGGGAAAGACTGTGTATCTCTGGAAATCCGCTATCACAAAGTTTGCTACTGCAATTATACAATATTTTTCGCCAGAGAGACAAAGAAGCAACGAGAGTAGCAGTGTACAAGAAGTTTTATGATGTATTTTGTAAGAAAGTCATTGAGATGGAGGTCATCGGAAATAAGCAAATAAAGTATATGAAAGATTTGCTGGAGAAATTTGTGATCATTGCTAAGGACACTGAGAATGTGGATGCATCTAGATATAGAGCTTTTAAACTCAAGCAACGACTGATGAAAAGTTATCCCCAACTTGTGTTCTGTGTACCGAAAATGAGAAATGTTGGCGAGATTGTATATATGGAAAATTTGGATTCTTCTAAATTGGTTGAGAAACATATGTCAATTAAGGGCCTGTTTATGTGAACTTGTGTTCTGTGTACCGAAAATGAGAAATGTTAGTGAGATTGTATATGTGGAAAATTTGGATTCTTCTGAATTGGTTGAGGAACATATGTCAATTAAGGGCCTGTTTATGTGGAAGCCGGGCTGGCCCACTTAGCGAGGCAGCCTAGTAAGCGGGATGAATTTCTCTTGTGTTTATATG